CCCCAAAACCCCAAAACCCCAAAACCCCAAAACCCCTAGAAGTTCTATATTTGTAATATAATCTTTTTATCTGTGAATATATGTATATTACTTTCCAATATTTATTTTTGTTAGTTTATTTCTGTTTTTGATTCAATACATATCGGGATCTCCCCCTCCTTTCATTAGATCTTTAGAGGTTGCATCTGCAGCACCTCCACCACCTTCTTCATCTTCTGGATCATTACCTCCTCTAGCTGGAGGTCCACCACCTTCTAATTCAGCTTCTTCATCAATCTCTCCACCAGCTCTTCTATAATTACCCTCTTTGGTCTGATCAGACTAGTCATCTGCTTCCTGATTAAGACGTTATTTCGATGAGTCATCAGCAGTAGGCTAGTTTTTGTTAAGAGATTCTTCCTCATTCATGACCTAATTAATCTCTCTTTTCTTACAACACTCTGCACAAGCTGGCAGCCATATTATGATATGTGTGGTTAGCATGACAAAAGTGCCAACAACTAGGAATATGATTGTATTTGCCTGGCCTACTCTTCCATAGGTAGTTTCAGTACCACAGTGAGATTCAGCAATAAAGGCAATATTCATGAAGCAAATTGCATAACCTGTTAGCATACAAAGTAACATTATAAGACCACTCAACTTATAGAGTAGTTTGAAAGGTCTGAAGACAATGATAAAGTAAACTATGAAATGTGTAAGTATTCTGATAACTTTAATTGATAGAAAGTATAACTTGAGTATCAATTTCAACAATATTCGTTAAATGATTTGAGCGTTATTACTTACCTAGAGCATAACCATAATACCAACAAGAATAACTTCTCATGACATGCTTTAGATGGTCTTCATATTTTGGATCACTACCAAAGATCCTACCTAATCTACAAGTCTCATAATCATCTGCTGCTGTTAATTGCAAGAATGAAGTAACTAATCCAGCTATGGGGAAAATTAATGATGGCAATGAACCTGCAATCAAATAGCTCTAATAGTCTATTAAGATAGATATTTTGTTACCTCTGCGTACATTTTGAGCTTGGAGCGTTACTTAACTTCTGGTTCTTCCTCAGTCATTTCACAAATATTTAACTTTTAATTATTTTAATAATACTATCTAATTCTATCTTAATTCTATTTTCAGGGGTTTTGGGGTTTTGGGGTTTTGGGGTTTTGGGG